ATTTACCGAGGTAGAGTGGTCTTCACATTTCTGCAGCGACATCGCACTCGCCGTATATACGTTGCCTATACATATAACTCGGATGGTCGCTTCAAAAATCAGAAGACACCCTAGTGATCACGTCCTACCCCGCATCCGCGTCCCTCATACGTAACCCACTCTCTCGTTCTCTCTTTCTCTCTCTTCCTCCCTCCCTATTTCTCTCTCTTTCTCGTTCCTATCCCACCAGACCTCGAGTCGCGCCGATGTGGTGCTCCCACTCTAGCTCTGAACTCTGGAAAGTCACACGCACACACCAGCAAATAACGCCCACGCGGCCTGCACGGTAGGCGTGGCCATCTTGTCATTTGTCTCCTCTACTTTCCCCGAGGCGTTAGGGGATCCCCGGGATGGCGCTCTGTTCCTAGCTTGACGTATGTACTGCCGCTACAACCCCCGTTTTCGTATCGCGCTCTTCGTTTTCCGCGCGCCCGCCGCGTTCTCCTCCATCGAGTGCTTTAGAGTCGCACGTCCCCTCCCTTCTACCTTCTCTGCCGCGCCGGTAGTTACTCTCCGTCTCTTTCCGTTTTTCCTTTCCGTCCACCCTGCATTTGTCGTTTTTCTTCTACGCGGACTCTCTTTCTCTCTCTTTTTTCTCTTCTTTGGAAGATGCTTCCATCTCCCGCTCCATTTTGTTGCGTGACAACTTCCTGACGCCAGTCACGACGTCCACGGCTCCCTTTGCTGACGACGATTCTCTTACGAGGATCACGCGCGGCCCACTTCGTCTTTGACCCTTCCGGACCTTGCTCCCCGCTGCGGTAAGAACGAGTCGGGCGTCGTCATGTCTACGGAGTAGTTATCGAGAAACTTGTGGGTTATTCGGTTGACGCAGTATCAATCGATGTAATAAGGAGAATGGACGAGGCATTAAATGCAACTTGCAATTTGATCGATCCTAAAGCCGAAACCGAGTTTCAAACTGTACATAGATAAAACCTTTTTCATCTACTTCATTCCTATCTCTTTCATACTTTAATTATAAGGTTTAAACATTATGTAAGGACCGATAAACTTAGGCTTCAATATTTAAATAGTGAAAAAGGTTAATGTATATTTAAATTTTTTTTTTGCATTCAAGATTATTTTCAACGTGCATGCAAACTAATAGTATTGGATGTAGTACGCCCACTGCTGTGTATATATATCAGATGTACTCTGAAATTATCATGTCTTTTTACATCATAATGTATACTGACAATGCTGTTTTTCTTAGATGATGATAAAAAGCTATTACTGAAGTCCAGACAACGATATGATAAATTCTAGACTGCGTTCAGGAACTTCATCCGAAACTATACCCATGTATCATTTTAGCCTTGTTATTAACTGTACATTAAACAAGGATAAAATGAAACATAGGTTTACCCGGAAAGTTCCTGAATGCAGCCTTGAATTCTCCGACCAATCGCGCGTGAGCGTTACACTATCAATCGTATCATTTGGCAGTAGATCAGACAGTTGGGAATTCGCTTTCCCTCGACAACACTCGCGTAGATGCACGCTGGCAATCGTAAACTCCTTGTACTCAAGACACACCTCTCGAAATCGAACAGTATGCCCAATATAGACGACTCCAGACATCACTGCAAACCGATATTTGCTTCGACTGATAAGCCGAATGATAACTGCGCGTACGAGCAATCCCAATTTTAAATAAAGCCGCAATCTTTATTTTCAGTTTTGCGAGACACACAAGATTGAAGTGAAGGTATTACCAAGGTATTTACTGAATGATTACATGCAAAACAAAATAATAATTTACGAATCATATATTACTGTGATAACAAAAATAACAAAATATACTGAGCGAGCATTATATTCGTGACTGGACTCCTAGTGAATTTTGAGGTTTTAAATCACAGTACAGGTAATATTGTTAAGAATTTTTATAACTAGTATACACTTACTGGTTGTAATATAATAATGTTTCCCTCTTATCCTTAACTTATGTATACACTTTACAGATGTATGTTTAAAATTTGGCGAAAATAAAAAGAAAAGTTCTAGAACAGTTGAGCAATAAAAAACGAACTTAATAAAATTTCCTGATACTCTCTTTCTCCACTTTATTCTCTTCTATGAATCACGTGCGAGAGAAGCGGCAAGATTGACTTCTTGCTACAGCATAGGAATTCTAAGATGTTCTTTTCCGTTTTATTTGCGCGTGAGTTTTCAGGTAAACAAACAGTGAGATATAGTGATGCATTTCTTACGAAGGCGAAGGGTAATCGCCGAAGACTACTTCGCTGGTGGTGGGATCGCGATCTCGCGTGGTCAAGGCGTTACGAGGTCGACTGGGAGGAACAACAAACGATAATCGTTGTAGTATAGCAAGATCCGCAGGATCGCCGGTAGTTCAAGAGAAAAGAGGAAACACCACGTGTGCGACGTATACGTGTACGTTCGCTCGAAGGGGCAAGCACGCCAACCACCGTCTCCACCGTAGGAGGGGCAAACTTCGGTTCAAAGGTGGGGTTAAAATCCGAAGGTGGGGATGAAACAGAAGGGATGCGCGTCGGTGACACTGAACGTTAACCAGTGTAACTACCTTGGATAGCTATACGCAAGAGATAACCATACGAAAAGAGACACGCAAAAGATCGTGGCGGCACAGAAAATTCTATTATAGCGATATTATAATTGTAATATTGTACAGCGAGATGACCGAAGACAAAGAAAAAAAGAACAATGAGCGACTAGGCACCTAAAGAATTACTCTATCGCGCAGACTAGACTCACAAGACGGAAAGAAAATTCGGCGCTAGAGATCGCGCGAACAACGAGGTGCAGTGTGGAAAAGGAGCGCCACAGGCGATTCTAGAAGGAGGGATGCTGTCCTGAAGAGGAAGACGTCCGTAGGGGTTGGCTAGGAGTGCGGTGGAGGGACAAGACAACTGTGTGTAAGAGATCGTGAGGTAGCGGGCAAGAACCCGTTTATATGAACAAGGATGCACGCGACTAAAGCGAGAGGATACGAATCGCGAACAGACAGCAGCGAGAGAGATGCGATCGAGATGGGGTGAGCCGAGGGAGGAAAGGAGCGCGAGCGGCAACGCGAACACAGGCGTGAGAGATCGTAGCAAGGGGAGCGAGCGGTGCTAGAGAGCGAGTAACGCCACGAGTACGAGCGAGATGTGATAGGTGGGGAGTCTGCTCCGGGTGTGGAGGCAAAGAGAGAAGGAACGGATGGAGGGGAGTAAGAGCGAGCGAGCCAGAGGGAGAGGCGCAGTCAGACAGTCAGGCAGGCCGCCCGGCAAGCAAGGAAGGCAGGCAGGCAGGCAGGCAGGCAGGCAACTAGGCAGCCAGGCAAGCTAACAGGCAGCCAGTGCACCAGCCAAGACCACTAGATCCGCTCGGCTTACCGACTTAGAGACTTAAGCCGGCAGGCAGTCCGAAAGGCTCAACCGGCTAAGCCTGGCGGACCCACCTACCAACCGACTTACGCGGCGCTAGCCACTACGACGCGTTTCATCTACCGGCGGGAAAATCAGGATACACCGCTGCGACCGGCGGTACCGCCGCCGCCTTCTTATATTTTCCTCTATCGCCGTGTCCCGCTCCGCGCTTCTCCTCTCCGACGCACGTTAAGGGCGGAGGTGCGAATAGTGACGAGTGCTGCGCGGTCATCATCATCGACGCGCTCGTGCCGACGACGACGACGGCGGCGACGTCGACGTCGTTACCCGCGGCCGCGGCGTCTGACGACGGTCGCGGGTAGGAGACCACGTTGTTCTCGTGCCACGCGCGTCTATAAATCGCACGTAAACATTCACGCAGTGAATTCCCGGAGTGGCGAACGAGAATTCGGAAGTGGTGGTAATACAGATCGTGGTTGTCACGAGGATGCCGTCCTCGTCCATCGCGTGCGTCAAATTATCGCCGTAACTTTGATTGGTGACAGAGAACGTATGTCGGCTCTTGTCGGTGAATGTCTCACCGGAGAGAGTGGATGACGAAAGGAGTAGTGATCAATGTAGTGCTAGACAAATTGCAGGGCAACCCTTCATTACGTCTTTGTCGTCTACAAACATTCTACGTTCTATCTGATCTGCAAATGTTTCGATGAAACTCACAGGGAGAATGTAAAAGCGTAAAGAAAAATCGTGACAAATGAAAGTGATTCCATCAAAGTGAGAGACACAGCAACGATTCAGTAGATAAAAACGGAGCAAGAGAAGTAGATGAAGTCATCTACCTCAAGTGGAAGATATTTATGATGATGATAGTGCTAGTAGTTCAACCTACTTAAGCGACGTATTTTATAACTCTTCTAGTTTTTTTTACGTAACGTGTAGTGATATTAAACCGACATTTTATCTGATTTATCAAGTCTCCACGTGTCATAGCGCGACGTACCATCCACGTGAGGCCCGCGCTATATTTCGAAGTCTTTCCGTGAATTCGTGACCGTCCACGTAATTCCCGTCGGTCCATCTCGAATATCTCCAGCGCAAAATGTCGCGGACACATTTATCTCGTTGTCGACGATAGACAGACAACCGGAGTACCAGCGAAAGAGTGCCGACGGTATGCGTTGCAACCATCTCTAAAACAAAGAGTTATATACGAGTATAATTTCTTTACAAATCTATATCGGAAGAAATCATAGACCTCGTTGTTGACTACATCAACATCTGTGCACACATTGTATTGTCCGAAAGAAATTTCGAGGAAAAAAAAAACCTACGTCAAAATTCTCATGATAAGTACTCTCTTCGAAGGAAACAAGCCGATTGACGTTTCCGATTGGTAATCGCCTTTAAAGAACCGTCACGCCAATTCTCGGTTCTTCGGTACATTCTCCGATCTACGAGACGCTTAGGAGGACGCTTGAATGTGTCCTTAGAAGGAGCCAACGAACAAACCGTGATCGCGCTGATTCACGGCCTCTCGCGGGCCAGATTGATCGTGTCACCAAGTTGTAAGGAACAGTCAACACGACGTTAACCTTCTATAGTATGGAGCGGGGCGGCGGGGCCGGGGGGAGCCTCGAACTCGCCGGAGGCGGCGGCGGTGGCGGCGGAGGCGGCGGCGGCGGCGGAGGCAATGCGGATTTATGTCTGCAGGACCTCGTAATCGGGCCTCCGAGCAGCCTCTCGGTGCAGCATCATCAGCACGCAACCGCCTCGATGACCGGCCTGCATAGCGACCATCTTCAGGGCGCGATGCACCATCACGATCTCCACGGTAATTCGCATCACGATACCTCGATGCTGCACAATTCCAGCCACCAGCTGCACCATGAGCCGTTGGAGAAACTTAAACGTGGTGAGTCGTTCACAATACTAAAGACTACCGCCATCCCGCAATCATCGTTGTGACTTTAAAGTGATCAGTAACCTAGACGTGGTTTATTTACGGATCGTGTATCATTTGCCTATTTCTATGGAAATACACACCCGGTACCATCACCAGATAATTTATACCTGATCGTTATAGATATTTATTAGGTTTCATCGCTGTTATTTTAGCAAAATAAAACAAAAGACATTATGTACCGTGAAATATTAAGTTTGTTGTATGAAAGAAATGATTAATTTTATTTTCTCTCGTAGAGCAATAGTCTATTTTGATATATCTATACGTAAATCCTCAAAAATAAACAATATAATTTTCTAGTAGTAAGAATATCTGCTTCTTAAATAAGAATAAATTGTTCAAGAAATAAACAAAAAATATTATTTATAATCAAATAAGTTCCAGTTTGTACAAAAGAAATTATTAGTGTTACTTTCTCTCTTAGAACAACAAATATATAAGGGATCATAAAAAATAAAATTAATATAATTTTTTTAAGCAGATATAATATTTATAAATCAGGATTAAATAAATTGTTAAATCGGATTTAAAAAATTGAACAAAAAATATTTAGTATGAAATGTCAAATAAATTTACAAAAAAAAAACGATTATTAACATTAACTTTTCTCTAAAAGAGCAATAAATCTACTTTTACACATACTTATGCAAAAATATTCAAAAATAATTAATACAATTTCCTGAAGTATGTAGAAATAATGCCTGCTCTTTAAATAGTTTCTGGCTAAGATGGTTTTCCATCTACTAAAACATATACGCAATAAGTAAATCAGTTTTTCATTTAGCACTGTAAAACACATACAGGATGTACTACGGTAAAGTGTTGAAACTAATCAGCTGTTATTTTCAAATGTATTCAGTTACTAAAAAAATAAAAACTGTAATAAAAAGAGAGAAAATTTGCAGTTTTTAATGAATATGAATAAAATTTAATAAAATGTGTGTGTGTACTAAGTTTATTTTATTTAGGAAAAATACGTTAATAATCAAATAATGATTACTATCTAAGATCGTAAATACGTTTCAAAAACAGTATATATAAAACTTAATAGCAGCTATTATAAAAGTTACCAACAATATTAAAAGCATGTAAAAAGTTTTTACGAGTTTTTTTTTTATTAGGAATTGAGTTTTGTGTGTGTGCGTGTGTGTGTGTGTGTGTGTGTGTGTGCGCGTGCGCGCGCGCGCATGTGTGTGTGTATAAATTCAAATAGTCGTACCTCAAAAGTATTAATCATTAAGATATTTAGCATATTTTTCACAAATTTATATATAATCATATTTTTTGTTAAACATTATTTATATCCATTAAAAATTGCAGATTTTTCTTTTTTCAACGTAATGTTTGTTTTTTAATAACTGAATTCGATGTTTGCGCACAATGACAGCTGATCAGTTTCTACAGTTTCCTGTAGAATAGGCTATATATCTCTATACAAAAAAAAATTTTTTTTAATTCAATGTAAGGCTTAAGCTAATTGCAAATGTAATTATAATTGTCTTTCACAGTGTAAATATCACTACATAAAATGTATGAGATGCAACAAATCGAATCGCATTCTCCAAGATCATGAAAAAATTAAGTATGATAAAATCGCGTGGTAAAGTGGCTCCATGGATGAGTAATTAGGTACAAATGACATGTTAAATTCTTTTGTATATCGATTCTGACAAGATATGAGGTTTACTTTTTCCATTGTCACATCACACCTTATCGCGTTATAATCGCTTGTAGCAAACTTGTCATAGCGCTCGATTTTATTGTTGATGATATTATCGATCTTCAGTGATTCGCGCGATAAGTACCTGAAATTTTTCCTGATTTTGCGCCGCGCGAGACATTATCGTGCATTCTCCGCCGAAAATCTCGTATCATGGATGTGTCATTCGTAAAACAAGATTGATACGTATGACGTTGCACAAATGTAGGAAACTTTCTTTATTCGTTGTGGCTCGTGACACAAACTCCTCACGCAAACAAATAGACTTGCGATACACAAACAATTGAAATTGATAAAATAATTCGGCAAGAATGAGACGTTGGTTCGCATGATTCAGCGCGACGAATCGCAAAGTGACGCATAATCTGAAATATTCAATTACACGCTACCTCACCGATAAATCTCGATAAGAAGGCAAAATTTAATATATTTCCTCTCTCGTCGCGCTTTTATCGAAAGATCTATAATTCAGATATGTTCACTGCAAACGCTCCCACTCTTACTCTTACTCTAAAAAACATTGCAACGAAATTAATATTTCCGTTGTGATCAACTACTAACCAATCATAATCTATCATGTTATCGTACTTTATACTTGTACAAGCAAATCTCTCAAACAATGATAACTGTTTCATAAATAAGTATATAACCATTTAGAAATTAAAAAGAAATCAATAAACAGATTTCATAGTTCTTTGAAACTCGATTTTTTTTCTCTTTTTAACTGTAATAAAAAGAAACTCTTGTCTAATGAAACATTGTCAAGTACCAGAGATAAATTTTAGACGAATAACTTTGATAGTGATTCACAGTCATTTTCTACCTATAATATAAAAACACAAGATAAAACTGGGCTCATTAGTGTTGACCTCTCTATCAAAAATTCGAGAACATACCATATACCTACTAATTTTTAAATAATTTAAACATTAGCTATTATTAAATTTGTCTACTTTTCATGATAATATAACTATTTTTATTTTAACACATCGCTTATTTGTTACAATGACTAAAAAATACCATTTTCTAGATGCTTACAAAAGAAAGCAGATACAAAAAAAGGAAAAAGAAAAAATGTATTTTAAAACAACATACTTTTATAACTCTATAATCAGTTATTATACCAAAATTGCATGAATTGAAGTAATCCGAAAAGTAAGTGTAATCGGCACGCAGTCATATATTTAAAATAATTTATTTAAATATATACATGCAAATGTATTATTCCAATATTAGACTTTAACGTTTCTCTTACTTACAATTAGTTAACTTATTCATACGACAGTATTCTTGTTTTTTTAACTTATTACTGTTAATATTATATCACAAAATTTTAATGTTTTAAAATATTTAAACTTATTTTCTGGAAAACTGTATTTTTAAGTTGTGTTATTACGGTTAAAATAAATGAGCGGTGTTATTTCAATGATTTGAGAAGATCTTGTTCTCTCATATCACTTTTTTATTTCAAAAGTAACAACTAAAAAATTCAGGAAAATCTATTTTTCAAAACATTATTTGTCATTATTTCTAACAAAAAATTATTGACTAGTCAACCAATATCAGCAAAAAGAATATATTCTTAATATAAAGAAATATCATTTTGTCATTTTCGTTTTACATCTCTTAAAAAATCGCTCTTTTTGTGCGTTGTGATTATTTTGACAATTTTTTTAAACCACTTTTTTTAATTGTGATAATTTTATAAAGTTAAGTTTACTTTCGTAAATTGATAAGATAATATTTATTTAACTTATTTATGGTAATAATTCGAAAATCTCTTTTTGAGTTGTGTCACTTTTGAAATGAAGAGAGCGATATTATTTCCTTGTTTACTCTTCTGCTACAAATTTTTGCAATACGAATTAAGTACTTTTTAAATTGTACAAATCCATTGTATTTATGTATAAGACCCGTGGAAATGCTTCGTTATATCACAAAATCTTCACCGAAGACTTCGCTGAAGATCGTTCTTTGAAACGGACTAGTCGAGTTTCATAACGCGATAGTCGTTCATTGTAATGTAGTGTCATTCGCGCGACGGGCGAATTCAGTTGCACGTACGGCGATCGTCGAAGACGACAAAGACGATCCTCTTCCGTGGCAACGCCACCACCTGTTTTGTGATTCATTAACTCACCGGCTTATCGGGATAAGGCAGACTTATCCGGGGCTCGAACTCGACACTGCGGCTAAACCTGATCTTATTCCAATGGCATCCTACCTATCCCCGTTTCGGTTCCAGTCCTAGACTCGCGCCAGCGATTCCCACCATTCAGAATCGCGAGTACTCTAAGAAGAGCTTCATTTTACTAGTGAATGTATCGAATTTTCTTTTCACTCGCACTCTCCCGATAATAAATCGTACTCGTGTCTACATATGTAAATGGATTCTACAAGGATGGATAAATCTGTTCATTTTGGTTCATGAATCCGTTTAGAGGATAACACTTGCTTGTAGGCAATTTATAATTATTAAAAAGATTATTCTCAACATTACTTATTTTCCTAAGCTTTATGCACTTTCAATAATTTTTCATTAAAGTATCTTATCACTACTCGAGCTGACTCACTTTCGCATTATTTGTCGTCGCGCTTGATCGGGTCAACAGGTAGGATATTGATAAATTCAAAGCGGTCGCGAGCGAATTAAAATTTCTATCGTAAACGCTACCCTACATATTATTGTCATTAATATCGCGATGGGATTACGCGAACTCTATTAATATTAGCACGTCGATGGAAATTAATGCCAGCGTCGACCGCGATAAAAGCAATGCCATGCTCTAATGAAAATGATGCGGAAATAGTGACGCCAAACAATCGGATCGAGATTGCGAGCGAAAATTCGGTGCAAGAAAAATCGCTGCGGAAAATCTGTTATCCCAGCTCGGCCGACGGGAGGCTCAATATTTTGTCAACAGGGCGGCATACGGTTAGCTCCGATCTGCGCAGCCCCCAGTTAGTCATTAACTACCCCTTTATTATCGCGCTGCCTTGCGATCGAGCTAGCAGATGCGTCGAAGTCCACCCTTAGTGCACCTCTCTCCCTTCCGGACTAATGGTGTTGACAAATTGCTCAGCTAGCCTCTAGTCTCCCCGGGGAATGCGCCCGCAAAAGTCTCCTCACCGCAAACTTATGGGCGTTTAGACGCGAAATTGAACCGCGACTCCTGCGGATCGCGATTCCTGCATGTGGGATAAACTTTGTCGTGCAGTGATCTCAAAC